ATGCCTGTAGTCCCAAGCCTGCCTACCAGTGATGTATCCACCCTGGCTTTGGGGTGCCTCATTGTCTCCCTTCTTCTGTTTGTCTGTGTATTCTTTCGCTATCCCTATCGCCGCTGGATCTCCCCTCCTCGTGAACCAAACACGCGTGACAACTATGTCGAGGGATAGCGATTAAGGGATAGTGATTAAGGCTGAGTCAAGTCTTTGTTCCTATAAAAAGAAATGAATATCTATACACGACACATCCACAATGGATTTCATGTGGCTGATCCATTATATGTTGTTGTGTTGTTAAGCGCTGTCAAGTCAGTTCCAACCCACAGCGACCCTGTATAGGGTTTCCGAAGGGCAGCTGGTAACTTGAATCACCAACCTTGCAGTTCAAACGGCTTTGTAGTCTGGCACATTAACCCACAGCACCACACCAAGACTCCAATATTATATGAGGGGGATTCAAAAAGTTCAGACAAAAAATTTTAAATTCCATTATCTGCAAACATACTGAAGCCCAAATGTAAAACACACCATCAGAAACAATGAAAACAGTAAAATCAAATCAGTGGCTATTAATAAACTTACAACCAGATCTGAAGTCTTCATTCTGCTCATCAATTAGAGACATCTTTAAGTCTTCCTCTTTAAATGATGTATAGTAAGCAAGATCAGTTACCCATTTGCCTTCTTCATTTTGATAGACCACACTCTGTGTAGGTTCCATTTCTAAGGAAATTAAAATTCCAAAACCATCTAATAACACATGTGTCACATAAAATAATATAACATGCTTAAGTACTTTTAATTGACTATTTTCATTACAAACAGTACCAAAGTGTGCCAGCCAATTGTTAGAAAAAGGACAATCCATTTCCTCCCCAAAAAAGCCTGCCTTAATAACAGTGAAGTTCTTCAGTGGTGAGTAAGACAGAAAGGAAAAGAAAACAGCAATTTACAAAGGTACATTTCAACTACACCTTTGATTAGAGATAATGTTCTTGAACTATATTTGCCCTGTACTAATATATTTAAAAATCTAAACAACACTTGATATTTAAATAATGAATTCAAGCAAAACTCACAGGAAAATATATTTTACCCAAACATACAAACATTTTACATATTTTACTATTATTTAAAATAACAAGCACAAAATGTCCACTTACGGTTTTTGCATTTTTCAATAGATTCGAAACTGACACATGTTCGCCTTTCACAAGTTGGTGACCAGGGAATATCAGTGGACTTAATTCCATTGTCATTAACAGGATTCAAAGATGTTATATCAATGTTTTTTTGAAAAGACACTCTGGGGATCTCGGTGCCTGAACATTTATCCGGTTGCAAAACTACTTTTGAATCTGATGCCAAATGCTTATTTTGATGCAAAGAATCTGCCCCTTGCTTAACGGAGCCAATCAAGCTAAAATCACCTTTCTCAGTTTTTGTGTTATGAAAATAAAGAGAGTTAAGTTTCAAATCAGTAGTCCTCATGGTCGTCACCATATCTTCATCTCTTGTACTATCCTTTAAAAAGCAATAACAAAAAAGTAATAAATATTGTGTTTAATATAAAATAATCCTAAAATTTAATTATAATTATTTAATTATACAACTCATATAAAATGTGATTTATATAATAAAGAGTGAGACTACACAATATTTAGTATATTTTAAACTGCGAGGGGATTCAAAAAGTACATGGAAAAATGTCATTATCTTTTCCTAACATTTTTCCACAAACTTTTTGAAGTCCCCCTCCCCAGTGTGTGGACACCAACTCTGGGTCCTATGTGCCCATTACATTATAGGAAACTAAATATATTACTGTAATTTCAAAAATTACCAGTAATAGTTTTGGTAATTTTACTAAGCCCATTAGTGTAAACAGTTTTACAAAAATTAATATTTTGTTGTTGTTAGGTGCCACTGAATCAATACCAACCCATAGCGACCTCATGCACAGGAGAATGAAACACTGCCCAATCCTGGGCCAACCTCACTATTGTTGCCACGCTTGAATCCATCGATGCTGTCACTTGGCCAATGCATTTCGTTGGGGGTCTTCCTCTTTTTCTCTGACCCTCCACCTCATCAAACATGATATCCTTCTCCAGTGACTGCTCCCTCCTGACAATATGTCCAAAGTATGAGAGATGAAGTTTGGCCATCTTGGCCTCTATGGAGCATTCTGGCTGCACTTCCTCCAACACAGATCTGTTGGTTCTTTTGGCAGCCCATGGCACTTTCTGTATTCTCCTCCAACACCATAACTCAAAGGTATCAATTCTTCTACAGTCTTCCTTATTCACTGTCCAGCTTTCGCACCCATATGACGTTATTGAAAACACCATGGCTTGGGTAAGGCGCACCTTAGTCCTCAAACTGACATCTTTGCTCTTCAACACTTTGAAAAGGTCTTGTGCAGCAGATTTGCTTAATGCAATATGTCATTTGATCTCAACTGCTGCTTCCGTGAGTGTTGATAGTTGATCCAAGAAGAATGAAGTCCTTGACAACTTCAATCTTTTCTCCTTTGATAAGAATGTTATTTATTGGTCTATTGGTGAGGATTTTTGTTTTCTTTACATTGAGATATAAGCCATACCGAAGGCTGTGCTCTTTGAACTTCATCAGTAAATGTTTTAAGTCTTCTTCACTTTCAGCAAACAAGGTTGTATCATCTGCGTATCACAGGTTGTTAATGAGTCTTCCTCTAATCTTGATGTCACGTTTTTCTTCATATAACCCAGCTTCTCGAATTATCTGCTTAGCATACACAAAGAATGAGTATAGTGAAAGAATACAATCTTGTTGCACACCTTTCTTAATTTTAAAACATTCAGTGTTCCCATATTCTGTTTGAACAACTGCTTCTTGGTCCAGGTACAGATTCCTCATGAGCACAATTAAGTATTCTGGAATACTCATACTTCGCAATGCTGTCCATAGCTTGTCATGATCCACACAATCGAAAGCCTTTGCATATTCAATAAAGCATAGGTAAACATCTTTCTGATAGTCTCTGTTTTCAGCCAAGATCCATCGGACATCAGCAATGATATCCCACGTTCCATAGCCTCTTCTGAATCCGGCTTGAACTTCTGGAAGTTCTCTGTCAATGTATGATTGTAGCCATTTCTGTATTACCTTTAGCAAAACTTTACTCGCATGAGATATCAAAGAGATTGTCCGATGATTTCCACATTCTATTGGGTCACCTCTCTTTTGACTTGGGCACAAATATGGATCTCTTCCAATCAGTCAGCAAGATAGTTGTCTTCCAAATTTCTTGGCAGAGATGAGTTAGTGCCTCCTGTGCCGCCTCACTTTCTTGAAAATTTTATATAGGTCACTGAAAATTCAGGAGTAAAATGATGGTTGTGTGCAACAACATAAAAGATGACTATACACATGGACCTCACCAGATGGAATACACAGAAATCAAACTTACTGTATCTGTGGAAAAGACAGTGGAAAAGCTGCATATCATCAGCCAAAACAAAGCCAGGGAAAGACTATGGAACAGATTCTCAATTGCTCATGTGCAAAGAAAATTAAATGCTATCCACAAGAGCCAGAATATGACCTAGAATATATCTCAACTGAATTTAGAGACCATCTGAAAAACCAATTTGATGCATTAGTCTCAGGTTTGCTCCACAACGAATCCAACAGCTGTACTATTGTTGTTGTTTTTTTCATTTTTGTTTTTGGGTTTGTTTTTTCCCTTTTAATTTAATTGCTTTTATTTATTCTTTCTCCTACTTCTCTATTACCTAGAACTGCATTTATCCTTTCTATCTCTGCTTTTGTTTTCCTTTTCTTCTGTCTCTCATTTAACCTTTTATTTTCATGTTTCCGTCTTTCTTTATCACACTCTACAATCTTTCTCTTTTGATCTCCCCTCTCGCTAGTCTTTCTGTGTTTTGTTTTCTTTTTTTTCTTTTTTCATTTTATTTCCTTCCTTATTTTCTCTTCTATAGCTCCATTTCTCTGTCCTTTTTTGTCTTCATTGGTGCTATAGTCCTTTTTGCTGGATTATGCCCATTTTAATTTTTTCCCTAATTTTTTTTTTTCCGTATGTTGGTTCGTTTTTCTTTATTCTGTTTTGTTTACTTGTGTGTGACAAAGGGAGGGGTTTTCTCTATGCCACCAGAGACGAGCCAGCAACAATACCCATACATTCCAGCCACAACCCTCTGCAGCTCCACTCACTGGGCAAGAGCCAAGAACTAGCTCCTATACTACCTATGAAGAAAAATGTGGCAGTAAGATTTGAGGAAGACTCATTAACAACCTGCAATATATAGATAATACAACCTTGCTTGCTGAAGGTGAAGAAGACTTAAAAATACTTACTGATGAAGATTTAAAATCACAGCCTTCGATATGAATTGCATCTCAATGTAAAGAAAACAAAAATCCTCACCTCTGGACCAATAAACAACATTCTTATCAAAGGACAAAAGATTGAAGTTGTCAAGGACTTCATTATTCTTGGATCAACTATCAAATTATCAACACTCACGGAAGCAGCAGTCAATAAATCAAATGACGTATTGCATTAGGCAAATCTGCTGCACAAGACCTTTTTAAAGTGTTGAAGAGAAAAGATGTCAGCTTGAAGAATAAGGTGTGCCTGACACAAGCCATGGTATTTTCAATAACCTCACATGCATACAAAAGCTGGATAGGCAGTTGAGTTATGGTGTTGGAGGAGAACACTGAGGGTAACATGAACTGCCAAAAGAACAAACAGATTACTCAGGAACAGATAACAATTTAAACAACCAAAGGGCACATTCTGCAAGTCTGCTCCTGGCCACCAGCACTCAATCTTACTCTTTCCATGAGTCTAGAGTTCTAAGCTGCTCTCTCTCCTCGTGTCTTCATCTCTGCCTCCATCTCTACTGTTTCTGCTTCTTTGGATAAGGAGCCACATTCCGTTCCTGTTCTTCTCCCTTGATGGTTCTACAGGTCCTCTGTATCGGGACTGTAAGATTAACTATTCCCCTGTTTTTGTTAAAAAACTTCTACCTTTACAGTTTTGACAGTTGCAATTAGTCATGATTACAATTACTCACTATTGAATCATAAGAACCTTATCCCCACCTCTTTTTTCACCAGACCCATCTAGACAAGATGAAAAATATTCAGTGGAGACTCTATGAAACTTATCCCCATCTGTTTTCACCAGATCCATCTAGACAATATGAAAAATATTCAGTGGGGACTCTCCCTTTCTCAGTGTTTTT